GTTGTTGCTCCAGCTGAGGTTGTCATTCATGTGTACACCCAAGTACTCGTAGCTGGAGACCACTTCCACCGCAGATCCTCTTATGTTCAGGGGGTGTAGATGTTTTTGTTCCTTCTGAAGTCCACAATCATCTCCTTCGTCTTCTTCACATTGATGTGAAGGTTATTCTCTTTGCACCAGCTCTCCAGGTGTTCCACCTCTTGCCTGTAGCTGGACTCATCATTGTTTGAGATGCATCCCACCACCGCTGTATCATCTGCAAACTTTACAATGTGACAGCATTATGTATATGTATATGTATGTGCTCTCTCCACTTCCTTTTTAAGCTTCTTTCTGCCTTTTTAGCTACTTTTCATCTGTGTTTTTCCAAATTTCTGCTTTTCTCAAACAATTCCCCCTTTTTGTGCTCATGTCTGCTTCTTTCAGCCTAACTGCGCAAACATTTGCTTTTTCTGCTTTCCCCTGATAATTTAAAATGTATCTACATTTTCAGCTACCTTTTCAACATTTTTAGCTAATTTCAGCTGTTTTCAGATAAATTCGAGTTTTTAGTGCTAATTTCGGCTACTTTTAGCCAATTTAACTTATTTCTGCTCATTTCAGCTTGCTATGGTACTTTCAGCTTATTTCTGCTAGTTTCAGTTATTTCAGCTACTATTTAGCTGTTTTTTGCTAATTTTATATAATTTCACTTTTTTTTTGTAAAATGTCATAATTTTTCAGCCTAATTCTGCAAAATTGTGTTCCTTCTGGTAACTTAAGCTTTTTTTCTGCTGTTTTCAGCTGTTTGGTTTTTTTGTTTGTTTGTTTGTTTGGGGTTTTTTTTTTTTTTTTTTTTTTTGGTTGCTAATTTCAGCTTTTTTCAGATAATTTCCACTTTTTGTACTCATTTCCTTTTTATTCAGCATAATTGGACACATATGTTTTCTTTCTGCTTTCTTTTGCTAAATTAAGCTTGTTCTAACTTTTCAGCTAGCTCTTTAGCACTTTTTGGTGGTAATTACTGTTGTTTCAAGTTTTTCATGTTAATTTCTGCTACTTACAGCTTAATTAACTTCTTTATGCTAATTTCAGCTTGTTATGCTCTTTTCAATACTTTTTCTGCTAGTTTCAGGTTTTGGTGCTCTTTCAAATATTTAGCGTTTGAAGCTAATTTCAGCTTTTTCAGCTAATTCCACATTTATTGAGCTCAAGTCAGTTCTTTCAGCTTCCTCTGGTAGTTTAAGCTTCTTTACTCCATCTTGGCGCACAAAAAATGTTTTTTTTCCCTGACTGGGAATTGAACCCAGGCCATAGCATTAAGAGTGCTGTATCCTAACCACTAGACTACCAAGGATTTTTTTTGTTTGTTTGTTCTTGTTGTGCGATAAAACCGGAACACTCTGAGAAAAACCTATGGCTGAGAGACGCACCACTTCACTGAAGTTTGCACGTTCTCCAGTCTGTGAGACTGTAGCATGTGAGACTTCATGAGCGAAGTGGTGGTATGAATGCTGGGGTTGAATCACCTGCGCCACCATGACCCGGTCAGTCAGGAAACGGCTCCCCGTCATCCTGCACTGTCACCCTGATAAGACAGATGGGCTGGTCGGTGGATTGAGAAACTAGTGGAGAAACTGAGCCCAGAAAAACCCACTGATATGTGTACAGGCCTCCCACCGCACCTCCGCTGCCGGACCGCCTGCTGTTTTTGTTCCAGTATCAGTTAGTTTACAAATTAAGCCCTGACCTTACGTCTAACATTCAAAGCTCTCAACAACTTAGCTCCATCATATATTACAGATCTTATTGTTCCATATTTTCCTAACAGAGCACTTCACTCTCAGACTGCAGGTTTACTTGCAGTTCATAGAGTTTCCAAAAACAGAATGGGAGGAAGATCTTTCAGTTATCAGGCTCCTCTCTTGTGGAACCAACTTCCAGTTTCTGTCCATGAGACTGACACATTGTCCAGTTTTAAGACTGGGATTAAAACTTTCCTTTTTGTTCAATCCTGTCGTTAGTGTTGGCTTGGGTTTCCTGAGCTATCCCTTATGCTGCTATAGGCTTAGACTGCTGGAGGACAAACTGACCTCATTTCATCAAATGGATAGTTACAAGTGAATACAAATGGATAGCTTGTATTTGTAATTATTTCTATTTTAACATGTTTTCGTTGTTGTTTGTTTTTTGTTTTGTCTTTCCTTCTATAGAAAGAACTGCTCGCCAGCTCGCCTCCATTCTTGACCTGCCATTGTGTATCTGTTCCTCCTTCCTGTCCTCTCAAACCACGCCAGTCAAAGCAGATGGCCGCTTGTCTTGAGCCTGCTTCTTGAGGTTTCTTCCTGTTATGTTCCTTCCGCTAACAGAACCACTCTGCTACGAAGAACCATGCTACTGTAGATGTATTTCTTTTTCACTTTTGGTGCCTTGTTTTAGTATTTTTGCTGCGTGCTTTGGTATTTCTTATTGCTGTGTTTTTAGCGAGTCAGGATGGTTCTTCTCGTCCTGATCATTTCATTGTATTGTTGACCTTGTGTTGACCTGCATATGACAAATAAACCTGAACCTAATTTAATTTTGTGAATGTAAATGTTTCTGTTCAGTGTCCTGAGATGACTTCTGTTGTGACTTGGTGCTATCTAAAGAAAGTGAACTGACCCGCCTCCTTTCTTATCAGAGATTTACTGTTTCTGTTGAGAAGTGATGGAGTTCGAGCTCATATGGTAATACAGTACCATGAAAGTAACTCTATGATCAATCCCATGCAAGGTTTTGAAATGACTTGTTAAGATTTTATCAATGTTTTACATGTTTGTATCTGAGTTTTTATGTATTTTATATTGCTGTCTGCATAATAAATTGCACTTAAGGGACAATAAAGATCCTTGAACTGAACTGATCTAATACGATAACCCATCAGATGACTTTAAAACATCTGTAAGCACTTGAAGCACATGCTGTGAATGACTCTCCGCTACTACTACATCAACATTTTGTAATATATGATATATAATATATAATATCTGTAAAATTACCTGAGGTACAGGTGTTTTTTGTGAAGGCTAAAGTTGATCAACTGTGGTGGCCAACTTAAATGTGGTTAAACAAAAAGTTAATCAGTTGTAGACGTATAACTAATATTTACTTTCTAGGAGTTTCATTAAAACACTTCCCGTCCATTATGACATATTTTGCTAACAGACAACAGGGTAAACTCCAATAGGTAATGCCAAATATTTAAACAAAATCCAATTAAATTCAGTTCACTTTATTTATACAGCACCAAGTCACAACAGAAGTCGTCTCAGGACACTGACAGAAACATTCATGTATAAAAATAATAATTTAACATTATTTATCTGAGGAGCAGACTGCTTTGAATCTAACTCCATCTCAGAACTCTCATCTTGAGCAAGAATGAAGGTGACAGTGGAAAGGAAAAACTCCCTCATGAGGAAGAAACCTTTAGCAGAACCAGGCTCAGGACAAGCGGACATCTGCTTCGACCAGCTGGGTTTGAGAGGAACAGATACACAATGGCAGGTCAAGAATCACATGTTTAGATAGAAATAGTATCAAATGAAAACTATTTAATTTCAGCAAATCATTTATGGAAATGAGGTCAATTTGTCCTCTAGTTGTCTAAACTTAAGGCAGTATAACAAGCCAACCCTAACTATAGGATTTATCAAAAAGGGAAGTCTTAAAACTGGACATTGTGTCAGCCTCACGGACAGAAACTGGAAGTTGGTTCCACAAGAGAGGAGCCTGATAACTGAAAGATCTTCCTCCCATTCTGCTTTTGGAAACTTTAGGAACCACAAGTAAACCTGCAGTCTGAGAGCGACGCAAAGAAGACAATGCTCAGCTACTACCACTCTAAATGTTATGTCTGTTGAAGTGGGCAGTTTTAGACATGAGTGGTTACTTTCAGACTGTTTTATTAAAACTCTGTTCAGTGATTCATAAAACAAATGATACAGACACATAAAAAGTAAAAACCTTCATTTAGTTGAATTCAGTTCATCCAGATGTCTCCAGTTACCCCAGTAATCCACTCTGGTGTGTGCGTGCACGCTGCAGCATCACTCCCGGGTGTGATTAAAGGAGCTGCGTGTCACTCTGGAAGTAGTCACTCCTGATTGAGTCTTACATGTGTTTTTACGAGTAGGAGGGTCCTCTCCTTCTTAGACCTACACTGATCCTAACCATCTCTGTCAGTTACTGATGGCTCCAGTCAGTGCAGTGCACGTATATTAATATTGTTGTTCTGGAGGAGCTTCAGCAGTTTCACTGAAACTAAAACCACAGTATGTCTGAACACATTGAAACAAACAGGCCCTGCCTGCAGCATGCAGAGACCTGCATGTGTGGTTCTTTGGTTTGTGTCTGCTGCCACCTGCTGGCTTCTTTACCACAAAGTGTGGAGATTTTCTGCCTGCTTCTTGATTCCAGTGGCATACAAAGTTTATCCAAGCACGACCAGAGGGAACATCCTTCACAGATCATCAGCTCATTACAGAGCTAACGCACTCGTTTAAACTACCGTTCATTTTCTCACCTTTGGTCAATTAAAGCTCTGCCTCGTGCACCTTCTTGGATTCAGAGGAAAAAGATACAGAATAAAAGCTCTAAGGAGGAATTAAAGCTTGGTGTTGAGAGATTAACATGGGGCTGTGCATGTGCTACAGCTCACTAATGGTTCACAGAGAGAGAGAATAGTTCATTTAAATTATTAATTTTCTCATTAATAACATGATATGCTTGTTGTTTTTGTGATCACGTTAGCTGTGTCCTGTTCTGCACTAATAAAACGTGTCATATGTAAAGAAGAGTATTTATAGGCTTACAGTGATGTTGTAGCAGGAGATAAATGTCCATTAAACTTGTCAAGAATCTCTTCAGAAACCCTCCCGTCTGGGCTGGATGAGATGAAGGTGGAATAATCCAGCTCAGGCTACAGTTTAATCCCTGCATAAATGACTTTACAACATTCTCCGGGTTTTATTCACTCTCTGTAAGGTCTTTTATGAGCGTCATGTCCACCAAAGAACACATCCAGAAGCAAGGTGGCATGATTAATGGAGAAATGAACACAGAGCAGGATGTGGGTGAATTTGTTCCCGACTTAATTGATCCAATTAAACATTCTCTTGATGATGCAGCTGATTACAATCACTGGAATCGAGAAAGAAATAAACCTTTGCTTTTCTAGTTAGGACAAGCTTGGTGGTCAGCGCTGTAGTCCTATAATTCTCAGTCTGCAAGTTTGAAACCAGGTTCAAGTAGGAAAAGCATAAAACACGACTGCTTCACTGAACATGTTGTTGCTCTGTATCATGTCTGACTCTGTCCTCACTGGACATGTTGTAGCTCTGCATCATGGCTGATTCTGTCCTCACTGGATATATTTTAGCTCTGTATCATGGCTGACTGTGTACTCACTGGACATGCTGTAGCTCCGTATCATGCTGACTCTATCCTCACTGGACATGTTGTTGCTCTGTATCATGGCTCACTCTGTCCTCACTGGACATGTTGTAGCTCTGTATCATGGCTGACTCTGTCCTCACGGGACATGTTGTAGCTCTGTATTGTAGTGAACTTAACCTGATGTCAAACTAAGCCTAAGGTCAAAACCCTTGACCTTAAGAACCTTGTGGGACAGAAACTGTCATTTCATTGATCTGAATCCAGAAATACAGTTTGACCCATCCTGAGACTTTCTTTCTTGAATTAATCAAGTGGAAAAGACAATCCTCTATGATCATTACTATTTTACAAATGTTTGATAATCAAATTGTGTTAGTTCAAACAATGTTTACAGGTTGAAGAGAACTACTCATTTTTATTTTACATAAACAGTAAGTAATGATTTTTATTCCTCATTCAAAGAAGAAATCAGGGTAATATGCATTTCTTGATTTTGCTGTCTTCAATGAGCAAGTTTGTAAGTGTGTGTCAAAGGTCGAGGTTCGGTCAACTAAAACGTTTACTGAAAAGAAATGTCATGTTTAACTTTCACAGCAGATACTAGGAGGAGAGACTCCATGAAGTCTGAAGTTCTCCAACAATCTTTCTGTCTGTTTTAAACAAACTTAATCTCTGTCCTTGACTTTCCATAACACCTTACATCACAAACCACACCTCTGTTCTGGTCCATCCACGAATCAGAAAGCTCTCAAATGAACCGGAAGTCGAACCCATTTAAATGTGGCAACTTCCCAGTTCTCTAAGAGAAGTGCCGTCTAAAAGTTCCGTTGTCGTGTCGAGACAAGACGTGACGAGATGAAAAGAGCTTTGAAAGAGTTGGAGACGTAAAGAGTTCAGAGTTCTTGGATGCAAACGCATTCA